GTAAAAAAAAAAAAAAAAAAATTAAGGCATGCGTGTCCGTCAACCTTAAACAATAATCTTTGTCAATTTTATTTTTCAGTCTTTATGATGGTCGATACTTGATCTATCTCTTACTGTTACATCCCCGGGCGACGCCGGGCTCTACTGCTAGTTGTAGTATAAACTACAGGTGCTGAAGAAACATAACTGTACCTGTGCTGGGTTCTGCAACAGGAATTTTTTAAAAAGTGTTTGACTATGACTATACATTCAATCACACGTCTGTGTTTATAAAATGTCCACTTATAAGCATCTGCTTCCAACCAAATTCGTTCATATCTCTGCTGTTTCGTGAATCAAACTAAAAATCAATGTATTTTCTTTTTGATTAGCCATCTGGTGTCATGTGATCTTCCAGAACAGAAAAAAAACACCCTTATCTTCTCGTTAGCACCAAGTGAATGCCAACTCTTCGTTACCGAGAATATAGCCACTCCTTCTGGTAGACTCAGTCAACTCATGCTGTCGCTAAGTAGGGCTCGAGCAGATTTACGCGGCAAATCGAGACGAGATCGCGAAAAGTATGTTTGATGCTTCCGCTAGGATTAGTTGATCTTTATTAACGTTATGCCTATATAGGCATTGTCCATTTTGTTTTGGTAATTATTGTTTCCTTACATGTTTTTGTTTTCTTTCGGAAAAAGTGTTTCTCTGTCTATAGATAATAGGAAGATCAATCGCCACTCTGTGCTCCACGTGAACTAAAAATGAGTGCAACGTACTCGTTCGTGACAAAAAAGAAAGGTGACCGTAAGGACAGTCCGCAATAATTTGATTCAGAATCACGCAATTATAGTGAAATAAATGCACATGCATTAAAATGCAAAGTACAAATGAGGCAAAAACATAGCCAACAAATTAAAATTAGACAACAGAATAAAACAACTAGCAGAGATAGAACCACTTATTAAATTGAAATACTATAAGGACAACCAAACCTATATGTTGATTATTAAATCCCACAAAAAGCAACATTGTGTAAATAAGCAAACGTATATTAGAAAAAATATTCTCAAACCGAAGGAACATATTAACATAAACCAATGGAAAAACAGAAACACAAAAATTAATTGGTTTAATAGTATTAACCGCAAAGAAAACTATTCTTTCGCATAATTCGATATAAAAGATTTTGACCTATATATCAAAGAGCGAATATTAAATAATGCCCTAAACATAGCCAAACCATGTATGACTATCCTCAATGATGACATTGTTATAATAAAACACTGCAGAAAATCTATACTACATTACAACAAAAATATGGACCAAAAAGAGTCAAAATGACAACTTTGACGTAACATTGGGTAGCTATGTTGGTGCCTTTATACAAGCTTGTAGGCATGTATATAATCAACAAATTATCAACTATAATTAACAAAAAAAGGGTTCATATGGACTAATAATACTAAGGAATTGTAACGGCAGAACATTGTTAGATAAAATTAGAAAAGAAATAATAAAAACCTTCAAAAACCTAGGATTTACAGTCGATATAAAATCCAACAAAAAATAGTAAATTTCTTAGATATAACTTTCAACTTACACAACGGAACGCACAATCCATACAGAAAATCAAATAATAACCCAGTATATATTAACAAAATTTCCATCCACCTAACTATCGTATTCAGAAAAATACCCACATCTATAAATAAAAGACTTAAAAAAATTCTAGCAATTTAAAAAAATATTCAATAAAAAAACAAACTAACATACGAATCAGCCATGAGAAACAACGGATATTCAAACAAACTAGAATATAAAATGAAAACAATACAAACAAAAACAACCGAAAACGAAATGTAATTTGATTCAATACATCCTATAACAATATAATAATAACAAAAATAGCCAAAATATCCTTCAAACTAATTGATAAATACTTACAACCAGCAGAATAATACCATCAAATATAATTGTAGAAACAAAGACTGGCAATTAATCACAAATATTTAACGAGTAACATAATATACAAAGCTACTGTAACTAATAATATTAACACAGAAAAAAGCTATAAAAGAAAACTATAACCACAAAATGTCATTTGACAGGAAAAGTACGCCAACAATATAACCCCATCGAAATACATATGAACCCAAAAAGAAAACAATATCCCCACTAAAATCAAATGGGAAATTATTAAAAGGAGAGCCCTATACAGCATTAACAGCAAAAACTATAAACTATGTTTAGGGGAAAAATTGCAAATAATTAGTTTTAAAAATCAAACAAAGTAGTAAACAAGAATATGAAATAATGGACAAGTGCAGAGATATAAACAAATGTTTATTTTGCCATTTAAGCAATAAATATACAATCAACAAATAAAAGAAATAAATATATATGCATGCATACGCGTATATATATCTGTATATGTATGTATGTGTATGTACCTGTATATATATATATATATATATATATATATGTGTGTGTGTGTGTGCGTATGCATATATACATATAAATTCAAATCACAAAAGAAATACAGTTATAAATCTAAACTTCTATAATTAACATTCTAATATTTAAAATACCACCAAGACAAAAAACATTAAGAAAAAGTTCAGTACAGATGCATAAACAACATTTAAGCATTAATTAATCTCTCTCTTCCTCTCTCTCTCTCTCTCTCTCTATATATATATATATATATATATATATATATATATATATATACGAAAAGTAGAACTTTTAATATACAATGTCTCCTAATTTTCTTTATCCTATATATATAATGGGTAAGTGCAGACATTTAAATAAAACATTTACATTTAAACATTAATTAATATATTAATATACATGTACATATGCGTTTGTATATACGCTTGAGTATGCATGCGTATGTACATATATATGTGTGTGTATGTGTTTGTTTCTGCGTGTGCGTGTGTACGTTTATGTATGTATTTATATATATATTCAAACAATAATAAATAAAATACAGTTATAAACCTAACCTTCCATAATTAACACCTTAATAAGCCAGGTAACGAACAACTCATTAAGTACTAAATAAGAAAAACAAAATAATGGGAAAGGGAAGACATATTTCCTTTGCCATTTAAGGATTTAAAAAAAAATTATTTAAACAATCAATAAACAAACAAAATTAGATATTTATTTAGAAATAAAAACAAAACACACACACACACACACACACACACACACACACACACACACACACACACACACACAAACGGAATGCACGTATATATTTCCAAAAACTTTAGCAAACCCCAAAATATTTCCGAAAATTAACCTAAATATAAATCGTATCTAACACCGGACATAACATTGCTATATTATCTTTTGACACTCAGAGTCGAAAGATAAAGAAAAGAAAGAAAAGAAATAATTAGAGAATATAAAAAGACAAGTAAATTATGAAAAGAAGAAATAACCACGACGTCCTACATATGTGCATCAACTTTAGGTTCCTATCAAAGGTATTGATTATCAAATATAATGAGTGCATTTTGCAGCATATAAGACACACTGATATTTTAGATGCGCCCTAAATGTGCATATGTTGGGAAAATAAAAGCGTGAAAAATGTGAGAACCTCTTTAAGAGAGTTATAGATCCCGAATTTTATCATTTTCTTCAGTTTTTAAACCTAAAATATATAATTATCGTTTATACTTACTTTCCTATTTCCGGTATTTGGGGAGTTGAGTTACTAAAGGGAAATAACTGAAAATGAAAATGGCAGGCGGAACTAGAACAATCTACTCCAGTAGATTAAATAAAAAAATTATTTCGAGATTTTATTTTATTTTATTTCGGTTCGAAATTCCAACGTGTACAATCTGAAGGCCAGAGAGTACATCGACCAAAACATCATGAATATGACAATAAAGATGAGGACAACAGTCTGAACAATGTAAATATCCATTTACTTCGGATTTTACTTTTGAAAAAGAGATCAACTAAGATATTGTTGGAACAAAACAACTGCTCTGTTTGCGTTGAATTAGTGACACCATTTTTTTTTCGTATCATTCTCTTCTGTTTGTGATTACATTTGTGATACATCCAGATATCATTTTAAAATTCTTCTATTGTTTGAATGTTTTGATTCCTTTTATATTTTATTATTGTATCGGGTATCGAAACAAAGGTTAATAAACGTGTTTTTCCTAACTTTATACTGCATGCCGAAGCTACCTTCAACACTAATTTTTGGGAGTTGTGTGTTGTTGGTTTTAAAAATTCTGCGTCTCACTTAAGTCTGTCATTTGAATTCATCTGTGGAAGCTTATCCAGTAACACACTCGAACGCTGGTAGCAACGCCCGGGATCGCCGATAAAACAGTCGGAAGATATCGGCTACAAATCGGCAAAATGAATAAAACGTGGAAAAGTTCTCTTTGTTCTTCCATGATTTGGCTATGATTTGCACGGTTTGATTCTTTCAATTTATTTAATTTCGGTTGACAGATTTAATTATTACTTAATAATAGTTTGATACAGCAACAGGTACAGCACAGTTCTATTGTCTTGATTTGATGCCGATGCATGAAAAGTTACAAACATTTTAGGTAGCAATGCAAACAAGTAGAAATCTGAAGAAGATAATTCTTGCACGGATTTCCTGTTCTTCCAACCATACCGAAAACAGCATTGGCAAATCTTCAAGAATAGGCGGGGAGAGTGTTAAACTTGTGAGGGCATTTTCTATGCCGATTAAGAAGAAAAAGACCAGACATACACAGAAAAAAGCGACTGAAAGGTTTCATTGATTGAGTGATTGATTTTTGCGGCTTTTTGAATTTTAAGAACATTTTGAAGATAATAATGATTTTCTGATACGTTTTACTATTTAAACCATAGCTGGGAGGAGAAAAAATGGATCCAAGGATATTTGTAAGTAAATATAACAAACCCGACTGGAATTCAAACTCGACTCTCCGATTTTTCATTGCGAGTATTTATCCATTACACGACCTGCATGTCCAAACTTACAGCACCTGCTATTCTCCAACAGTCACCCATCCAGGCATTGACTTGGTTCAACGTGGCTTAACTTCAGAAATCAGACGAGAACCGGTGATTCAACGTGATATGGCCATAAGCCTGAAAGGTTTGGTAATAAGAACAAGCAAATGGCAACCAATTCAATTTGATTTTTTCGGACTATACAAAGTCTATAGAATAATTGAGCTGTGAACTTCTATTTACTGATGATGAAGCCCTAATCACTCAAAAGGAGTCAGTCCTTTTCAGCAGAACATCCCTTGAAAAATTTACAGAACGCTTTACAATTGAAGTCAGTTCGAAGAATCTGTACTTCGACAGGAGTATCTCCCGCGATCCATGTACACCGACCTAACAGAATTGCTAACAGTTTAAAAGTTTACTAAATTGGCATGTAACATATGATTTGACATTAAAGCGCACACAGGTAGACAACAGAATTACTAGAGCAAACAAAGCCTTTGACTAACGTTAACTTTATTCGAAAAATAAGTTGCAGGAAAGATACAAAAGTAAAAGTTTACAAAACTGTCGAATCCTTCTACATAGGGCCGAACATGCGTCTACTTGAAGTATTCTAGATTGTTACAAGCATAGACACAATACTCCACAAGAAGGGTACCATGTCGAAGATAGAAGACTCTTGTCTAAGATTTTACTGTTCAATTCGAAAATTAACGCAAAAAAGCTTCTTAAAAAAAGACTTTCACCATCGATGATACCGACTAACACATGTAACTTTCTTGTATACGATTTGTTTGGAAACTGATCATGGTAATGCTCTGTTTTGATAGTAAAACGTAATTAGCTGATACCTTTTTTTTGTCTGTGTTCGATATCCACCAGATATCGATTTGTAAATTTTTTATATCTTCTTTGCTTGTCTTGTTTATTTTGTTTTACTTTTTAATTATTTCTGTCTTATCTTATTGAATCAGTCAATTATGTGCTATGCGCGATACACGCTTAGGCGATCATGTATCTTTCGATACATGACTGACGAGGCAGATTTTTTTCTCGCAGTAGGTTCCCATTTCTTTACCCATAGCTATGATGAGAAGAGGATTCATACCTTTCCCAAGGGTTTTGACTGGAATTTGAACGCGGCTCTCCGATTCCTTAATCCGAGCCGCTATCCATTACTCCACTACGATTAATTGTTTGAATGTCAGGTCTTTGTCTCTGTTGACAAAGACCTATTGATCCGTCCTACCTGACTATTGAGTTGCAAATATTAGTGACTGTATATAGTATACAATGTGTCTGGTTGATTGCTCTGTAAATTAACCAGTAGAAATAACTTGCCTCGTTGTTCCTACATAAATATTCAATATGCGTTCACACTAGACAAGAATTATTCGGTATACTTGAGTGTTCTATCCTTGGTATTGTACTGCAATTAGTCAACCAATTTCCCGTTTGAGAATCCTGCTTCGACGTCACGCACAAGTCAGTCTTTATTGGGAGACAGCTCCAGTAATTACGTGCATAACGTAATCGCATCTAATTCTTCCTCTGTTTCAACGTTTTCTTTTCTTTTCTTTTTTTTTTTTTATAAAATGATATTCTCGCGACATATTTTAGCTGCATGTGCTTAACAGGTTCATTTTTGTTTAGTGATTAACTGGCATTTCTTACGTTTGGCTTGCAAGGTAAGCTGCTAAGAATGTTGGTTCACTGTGTTGTACGAGATAATCTTTCTCGCCAGAATCTAACTTGCATAACTATGAGTCTATCATTCGCCCATCCTATCTTACATAACTATGTGTCTATCATTCGCCCATCCTATCTTACATAACTATGAGTCTATCATTCGTCCATCCTATCTTACATAACTATGAGTCTATCATTCGCCCATCCTGTCTTACATAACTATGAGTCTATCATTCGCCCATCCTATCTTACATAACTATGAGTCTATCATTCGCCCATCCTATCTTACATACCTATGAGTCTATCATTCGCCCATCCTATCTTACATAACTATGAGTCTGTCATTCGTCCATCCTATCTTACATAACTATGAGTCTATCATTCGTCCATCCTATCTTACATAACTATGAGTCTATCATTCGTCCATCCTATCTTACATAACTATGAGTCTATCATTCGCCCATCCTGTCTTACATAACTATGAGTCTATCATTCGTCCATCCTATCTTACATAACTATGAGTCTGTCATTCGTCCATCCTATCTTACATAACTATGAGTCTATCATTCGTCCATCCTATCTTACATAACTATGAGTCTATCATTCGTCCATCCTATCTTACATAACTATGAGTCTATCATTCGTCCATCCTGTCTTACATAACTATGAGTCTATAATTCGTCCATCCTATCTTACATAACTATGAGTCTGTCATTCGTCGATCCTATCTTACATACCTATGAGTCTATCATTCGCCAATCCTATCTTACATAACTATGAGTCTGTCATTCGTCCATCCTATCTTACATAACTATGAGTCTATTATTCGTCCATCCTATCTTACATAACTATGAGTCTATCATTCGTCCATCCTATCTTACATAACTATGAGTCTATCATTCGCCCATCCTATCTTACATAACTATGAGTCTGTCATTCGTCCATCCTATCTTACATAACTATGAGTCTATCATTCGTCCATCCTATCTTACATAACTATGAGTCTATCATTCGCCCATCCTGTCTTACATAACTATGAGTCTATCATTCGCCCATCCTGTCTTACATAACTATGAGTCTGTCATTCGTCCATCCTATCTTACATACCTATGAGTCTATCATTCGCCCATCCTATCTTACATAACTATGAGTCTGTCATTCGTCCATCCTATCTTACATAACTATGAGTCTATTATTCGTCCATCCTATCTTACATAACTATGAGTCTATCATTCGTCCATCCTATCTTACATAACTATGAGTCTATCATTCGCCCATCCTATCTTACATAACTATGAGTCTGTCATTCGTCCATCCTATCTTACATAACTATGAGTCTATCATTCGTCCATCCTATCTTACATAACTATGAGTCTATCATTCGTCCATCCTATCTTACATAACTATGAGTCTATCATTCGTCCATCCTATCTTACATAACTATGAGTCTATCATTCATTATGCTATCTTACATAACTATGAGTCTATCATTCGTCCATCCTATCTTACATAACTATGAGTCTATTATTCGTCCATCCTATCTTACATAACTATGAGTCTGTCATTCGTCCATCCTATCTTACATAACAATGAGTCTGTCATTCGCCCATCCTATCTTACATAACTATGAGTCTGTCATTCGTCTATCCTATCTTACATAACTATGAGTCTATCATTCGCCATCCTATCTTACATAACTATGAGTCTGTCATTCGTCCATCCTATCTTACATAACTATGAGTCTATCATTCGCCCATCCTATCTTACATAACTATGAGTCTGTCATTCGTCCATCCTATCTTACATAACTATGAGTCTATCATTCGTCCATCCTATCTTACATAACTATGAGTCTATCATTCGCCCATCCTGTCTTACATAACTATGAGTCTATCATTCGTCCATCCTATCTTACATAACTATGAGTCTATCATTCGCCCATCCTATCTTACATAACTCTGAGTCTATCATTCGTCCATCCTATCTTACATAACTCTGAGTCTATCATTCGTCCATCCTATCTTACATAACTATGAGTCTATCATTCGTCCATCCTATCTTACATATCATCATACAGATCTCAATTATTTACAGTTTAGCTGGCAAAAGATTTAACCGTAAATTCTTTGCTAATAGTTCCTTTTCTCCCTTTTCTCGTTTGTGGAACTCTCTTCCGATTCCATGCTTTCCAGCCAACTTTAATCTGCAAAAATTTAAATGCAGTGTCAATCGCTGTCTTCTGTCCTCCTGATTACTATTTCCTCTTCCCGCTCATTATTAATGTTTCTCTTCCTAATTCTTCCACACCCCATAACCCCTTGTGTTTTAACGGTTTTATTGCCTTGTATGGAGTGATTTGGCTTGACGTGAGAGAGAAAGACCAATGAATCTTTCAAAATTATCTCAAATAGTGAACAAGAGTAACCATTCCCGGTAAGTTTAGATTTTCAGAAAACGCTTTGATTTCATTACATTTGCAAGCACGCATACATACACGCACACACGCACATACACACATACACTCACACATACATGCACGTACACTCGCGCATACACACATACACTCACACATACATTCACGTACACACGCACATACACACATACACTCACATATACATGCACGCACAGAAAGAAACCTATTTCTTTTGAGAAACACTCGTCAGGTATAATCCGTGAGACGAGGGGAAAGAACCAGTCTAGCAAGGGAAATTGTCCATTCATATTACTGGACTGGACTAGAACCTATTTCCACAGCGCCAGGTACACTAAACACCAATTGATTCTGAATTACACCAAGGAGGAAACTTCTCTGTATTAAAAATACGCAACAAGGAAGAAATCGTGTTGAAATCAACTTGGGTTCCTGTACGAGAACCTCCTTCAATGATGTCCCAGGTACCATTTTTCCCTCTACAATATGGTCTGCCATAACCAAAGGTGAGGTGGAAAAATCTGGTATTTTCTCATCAAATTTGGTGCTGCAGAATACACGCCATTTTGGGTGTTTGGTGCACCCGACATTGTAGAAATAAATTAGTCCGATTGTAACACGGATGGACAAATTCCCTCGCCAGTTTGGTTGTATGGTTTACTTTTACATATTCCACTTAATGAGGACCGAAGAAGTGATTAACCAACACAGTGAGCAAGTCAGACTCATGTATACATTTTTATTTATATTTATTTAAAGTTTATTTATGAGCTAAATATCGATTAAAAATTCCATTTCTAGATATTCTCATTGATAGTCAATAAGCAATAATTTTACCACATGTCCGTACAAAATGTCTACTAGTTCTAACCCTTGACTTCTAAACTACAACAGTAAATGTCCTGAAAAATATAAAACTGCTGTTATTAGTAACCTTATCCAAAGAGCGAAACTCATTTCCTCATCCAAAATAATTTTTCTTATAGAATTAAATAATATAATACAAACAACAA